GACAGCTTAAAAATGCCCACCTATCGTTAAGACACCCGTGTCAAAAAATAAATTTAACACGAAAAACGAAAGTTGAGCAACATTGACTGCGGGAGACGCGATTTAGTAGGTAGACATTTCCTTTCCACTTGTATTTTTCTTTCTGCATTCCGGGCGCGTGGAGGAGAAGTGGATCGGCTTGGCCATTACGTTGAGGTGGAGAGAGTGTGCGACCATCTCGTGTAGGTGGAAAGAATGTCTGACCATTCCGTGACGTCACGGAAATTGCGCGCAGAATTTAAAATAAATTTTGCTCCGTGAATATTACACACAAAAAAAATAATTTTTCGCTTAAATTGAATTTTTCGACAGGCGTGTCCCAACCAGACTGTTAAAAAAACGATTTCTTCAACAATCTGGAAAGAAAAGTTTTTTTTTTCTGTTCAGTGGCTTCCTAAGTTTTGATAGTCTAAGAATCAGAAGGTTATGATAGACTTTATCGAAAGCTTTGGCGAAGACCGAAAATGTGTAGGCAGCCTGGGATCCTAGGTTTAACATTGAATGACGATCACGAGTGAGTGATAGAATTTTAGTTTCACATGAAAATGTCTTTTAAAACCATGTTGAGATGGGTCAAAAAAGATGTTCCAATTTACTGACAAGGTGGGAAAATATAAGATCAAGAATTTTGCAGAAAGTACTGGTGATGGAAATCACGCGATAATTGAGAGGGGAATGTTTGTCACCTGTTTTGTAAATGGGAGCCACTTTTGCTACTTTCCACTCTAAATAAAAAATAGACTCTTGTATAGATTGTTGACACAGTGTGTCTAGTATAATTAAGGAATATACGTTAGTATTTTTTTAATTTATAATTTATACAATCCACTCCTGCAAAAGGAGATAACTTTAACCTATAACTATGATGTTCAACCCCAGCACAATATGGCAGAGTGGTCCATTCGCAAAAACTCAGAACTGCGCAGCACTCGGCATTCTTGAGTATTATCACGTGAGAAATATTTAGCAAAATCTTCAAAACATTAGCACTCGTTTTCAACGGCATACTAGTGCCGGTTACAGTTTTTAGCACGACTGAAGAGTTTGATCTTTTTACATAATATTCCAAAATTTTATGGGTTTGTTAATAACATTTCCGGTAGTTTGCGGGTGAAAATAATAAACCTCTTCTATGTGAATGTCTTTTTTGTATGCCTAAGCGGCTCTGCGATATCTTATGGAACGTTGTTCACATGTTGTGAAGTTACCAGCACTGAATAATCGTTTATTTTTATTTGAAGGCTCTATTAAACCACGGTGGCTGGGAATTCTCAAGAACTGTCCTTACGGAAATGTACAGATTTTATTAGTGATTTGACTTCGTTTTGAAGCCACTGCCAATTTTGTTCCGCTAATCTGTGTGGAAACGCCACCACGAAATTATCTAGATATGTTGCTAGTTCATTTTGAATATTCTCAAAGCCAGCTTTTGTATAATCTCGAAATAGTTTTGTGCGAACGGATGGTTTGGGCACTGAAGCTTTAACATTAAAACGCATAAAACAATAATCACTAAGTCCTGGTTGATGTAAATTGGAAAAACAAGATGTGGATGGTTTGACAAAACAAGATCCAAAACAATTGTTGATGACGGGGTAACCCTCGTATGTTCAGTGATAACTGCATTAAATTAATTTGTAAGCAAAGTTTAAGAAAGTCATTACATTCGGATGAATACGTGGCCGTAGATGGATTACTCCTTGTCCACACAATAGAAGGATAATTAAAGTCCCCCACAGGAAATATCGGAAAACTGGGAAATGTTGTAAATAAGGTAAATAATGAGTCATGCAGAGCTCCAATGAATGTGGACAAGCTAGGGGTGATCTATAGCAAACTCCCAAAATCCACGAACAAATCGTTAGGGCGCAAACGAGCTGGTGAAGGTTTAACGTAATTTAGAGAAACCCCCGAGACTGAGGAAAGGCGAAGAACAACACAGGAGAGGAAAACGTGAAGGGGACGAAGCCTGCATTCTGCAGAATTAGGGTGTGTTATGTTGTCTTTCGTCTTTGCACAGTCTCAAGCATTTGTCCTAACTTAACCCAAAATTCCTTTGTTGCGGTTAGGACTAACAAAAATCCAAATTATTTCTAAACAGCTAATCGTATTTACAAAAAAAAATATTTTACATGATTTGACAGCGCAATAAATACACCGCCACCACTCCTATTCCATCTGTCGTTTCTCTAAATATTATATTATATTACTCCATAAAATAGTTGACAGTGAAGCACCTTCACACACAACCAACTTTCTGCCAAAAGAATAACATCACCTTTAAAAAATCAACAATTGAACACAATTCACCTCGTTTTTTCTTTTTTTTAAAAAGCATCTAATATTAGTCAAAAGGACTGATACATTTGACATGGATACAACACAAGCACTACACTTCCCGGTCTGTGATTCCGATCCCAACGCCTGAAATGGGTTACTAAAAGGAAAGAAATCTGTGCGTCTGCAACTACTGATGCGGTACTCGGAGCATTTTCAACAATCGTATCGATCCCCGGATTGTAAATGAAGCATTAATTGTTAATGTACATTCTATGGTATCGAAGCTTCAAAACAACATTTCCTACTTTCGCAAATTATATTATCTTTTTACTTTCGGGACGCGTACTAAGCGAAAAATGTTCACTCATGCTGACACGACTAGCTTTTAGCAATGATCTGGAGAGTAACATGTATTTTATTTTAGTTACGATGATGCAAACATTACCATAACAAGTATAGACTTACTCTGGCAGTAAGTACCGATTTCGTGGGCCCTTATAATCGCTTCATTCGTTACCTGGAGCTTTAGTGATCACCGAAATAAGTTTATTACCGTATCGTCTATTGTGGACGGGTTTCAGATACTGTATCACCAATCTTCTAGAAAACTAAATTATCACGAAGAGAACGATCTTCTTTTAGGTGTACCAAGATCCCAGCTAACTTTTTGAAAAACTTCAATCAAACTTCGTGTCATGGAAACCTCTTCGTTGAGCATCGTCACGGCAGAAGTTTTAGTTTGGACCTCAGCCAATCTCTCTTTATCATTATAGTTATGGCGGTTTTTATTGATACTGGCTTTGTTTGACTTCATTAAGCGACGTCACTGTTCCCAACTAATTCTGAGCGTTTACAAGAGGGCATTCACAGACTACTTTTAGCATATGATGCATTTCAATACTGTTTTTTTTTAAGTTCAGCTTCACTTATTGGACCGGGATTGAACTCAACGTCACCCGAAACCTTACGAAAGAGGGCCACCATATAGCACAGTCACACATAGTTTTAGAAAACACATGTCAGCACAGAGACACCAGTAAGCACAAATTGCTTTTTTTTTTTCGCGTTAAACACGAGACTTCAACCAGCATGAACGAAAAAAAGACGCAATGAGTAGTCTGCATGGCCTCGCAGATTCCGTGCTCACTCAAGGCTGGACAGCAATGACAGCCGTATATAGGGCGTTCGCAGACGGTGTCGTTGAAGCCGCTGATATTGCCGTTGACGGAGCTCCAGTTGTTTCACGGGAATTTTTTAATAGTAGGTTACCCGGGAGATAAGTGGTGTCACCTCGGTGTCGATACGCCTCATCGTGAAGACTGAAGTGATCGTGATCCAAAGTTGTACTGTAAACACCGGGCAAAGGGACGAGGGCCGTAGACTAGAGGCAAGCAGTAACTTGAACTAACAAGAGAACGCAATGAGTGGTCTGCATGGTCTGGCAGATATCGTGCTCATTGATATCAAAGCATTCGCATCGTTAAATTACATTCCGTTTTAAAAAAAGAAAAGGACAAACAAAATGACTGAATTTGTGAGCACAAGTGTTGCCATATGCTAAGTTTGCCACCCGGTTTTAGAAATGTGAAATTCTTCAGCAATTAGTGTCTTAGGACAGTGAACTACAATAGCGAACAAAATCTGGTAAGACCCGATGTCAAATGCCTCGTTACTCCAAGAGAACAAAAACGCTACCTGTGCCGCACTAAACCATTGCTTTGTGGCAGAAGCCAGAGCTTGATTCAAGTAGATGCGTGTGGCCACTAATTTAAGAAACTATATGAAGAAAGTTACTTAAACAAAAATAAAATCCAGGAGAAAGTACACTTGGTAATATTATTTTATAATATCGCACATGTTTTAAGCACAGGAAAAATGTCAGTGCCTCTAGGCCAAATGTTCCGAAAAGCCTATTTTTAGTAATACGTCAACTATGTTGGGAACTGATTTTCTTTCGCCCTCTCTCTCTCTTGAGATTACATTCCAACGCCCAGGCTTACATCACCGCTCAAATGAACCGCTTCATTACACAAAAACTTCGACTAGTTAAACACGTTGAAAATATTCCGGTTTACCTGAAAACAACTGCATAATTAACGTTATTGGTATAAAAGTTCTGAAAAAATGCTTGATACGTTTAGATGGTTTGTATGTCAAATTAATTGTCCCGTAAAACGTAGTGAAATTTTCACAAGATTGTGTTTTTTGCACCACTAACCCCCAATTCCCCAATCTCGTCAAGCACATCATCAGCGATGTGAACATAGATCACCATACTAAATGTATAAGAGAGTTTTGAGATATATATATATAGAGAAAGAGAGGTGACGTTATTATAAATAGAAGATACTGAAAGTTTGATGATATATTTGAAAGCAGCGGAAGAGTAAAGTAGTGAATCTATGTCCCACTGCTTCTTGGCTCCACTGTAGCTCATGCCTTTCTTCAATTCACAAACCATTTTATATAGTATGACAAAGTGAGCCAGTAAAGCTTCGGGTAAATCGCTGCGTTACTCATTTCATGTGCATCCTAGCCATCGTTTTCAGTACTCACACTTTCGAGGTAAAGCGATTAGATTAAAGTTATCGAGATATGTGCATTCTGTTTCTGGAGGTACGAGCGATTATTTATAGCATTTTACGCTCTTTCCAATAATGTAACGCATAATTTTTTTTCAGCTAAACGGAATAAATACCCAGGGTGAAAATATTGCCGACCATTCTGGCCTGAGAGCAGCGTACCTGGTAAGAAAGTTAGAGGAGTTAAACAAAGCCTTGTTGTGCAGTCACTTGATCTAGCTTAAGATTAATTCATCGATCTTTGCTCTCCATTTAATTTAAGGCATTCAAAAAGTCTAATGACACTGACGAGCTGCTTCCTGGGTTAAACTTAACCGGAGACCAGCTGTTTTTCCTTTCAAATGCTATGGTAAGTTTTATTTTGATAATTTTCATACATTCAGTAAACAATATTTAACTAATGTCGATAATATTAATCTCGGCGGCTGGAATTGGTGCCAGATCCAGTTGCACATTTCAAAAACTGTAACGCACTACTTGCAAGAACGTGACTTTTAGCACAACTACTTGTGATTACAGTTAAGTCGAAAGAAAAAGACATACTCTACCGCAAGAGAAATCATTTCACACTTCCATATGAAGACCAGAGATTCTTACGCACTCCGTTTCATTCATAATTAAGGATATACGTGTAGAATTTTTCACTTCACTCACGAATGTTGTTACAAGCAGCATGGGCATCTGGGTCCTTCGTCAGGCTGCTCCTGAACAGCTATCTGCCAGAGTTCCCTTTTGTCATGTCCCTTTTCGCCTTGTGACAAAAAATAAAAAAAACTAATTTTATTTTATCTTTTTGTTTCTTGGCAAAGAGCAATACACCAACGAAACTTCAAGTATATAACAAGTAGATTGCGGAATACTCCAAGCACCTTAAGAACACGTTTAGCGCATATTAAGGGTACTGTTCGTTTAATAGTCTGTTGAACTCTGCCGCGGTCCTTTACCTAGTTTGGCCACTATCGCGTACAAAGTATATTTCAATAGAGTATTAGTTAACTCCACATATAAACCAAGTATATACTTTTTAATATACCTTTTTAATGCAAGTACAAAACTAGTTTTTTTTAGAGTACTATATCTGCTGGTCTATAAAAAAACATTAAACACATACCGATGACAGAGAAGATGTGATGTATTAAACACACAGCTCATCTCTTTATGTGATTGTCTAGTACACCTTCTGGAACAATTTTGTACCAAATGAAATACAAGCATTCTCCCTCATTGGAATTCGAGAGTGAAAAGTAAATTTCAGAGGCAACAAAAACTGTAAATAATCGCAATATATTGAAGAAGATAGCCTTCGATTAGCAGTATGTATTTCGCTACGTTTCAGAGCACAGCTCTTAGGCGCCCGCTTCCGGTTTGAGAGGCGTTTCCGTCGTCGTCGGCGTCGGCGTTAGGGTCGGCGTCGGCGTAATTGCGCGCGTTTTATTCTGGGAAAATTTCCCGCTAAATTTCCCGGTGAAATTTTTCCGCTAAATTTAGCGGGGAAATTCACGTCACGAGACTTCATCACCAATTCAATTTCCCCGCTATGTTTAGCGGGAAATTTTTCCCGTTAAACTTAGCGGAAATATTTCTTTACTAAATTTAGCGGGGAAATTCACGTCACGTGACCTTAACACCCATTCGATTTCCCCGCTAGATTTAGCGAAAATCCTTTTTTCCTAAATTTTTTCCGCTAAATTTAGCGGAAAATTTAGCAAAGGACTTTCCGCTAAATAAGAGGGGAGAAGGCCGGGAAGAGGGGAGGTATGGAGGGGGAAGAGGAGGCGCATACACTCCCTTCCGTACCCTTCCCTTCTCTTCCTCAAAAGCTGAACTCTAATACGGCGTTACAAAGACTTGTAAACGTCTACATTTTTTGCCTTTTTTTAGGTCTGGTGCGATAAAAGTAGGGAATCAAGGCTGATATCTGATATATATCATCAACGCCACAGCCCTGGCAAGTATCGGTGAGTGAATATTTGTTGTAGTAAAACGAGATCCTCAAAAATAATTCCATATGTCACTATAACGAGGACTGTATGTGTAATTACATATGTCACTATAACGACACGACATTCTTCGTTGCATTTGCAAAAGTTTATTCAGTTTTTTTTATCGTACGACTGAAGTTTTCACAAACGGGAAGATGTAAAACAAGGCATATTGGAAGTTGGAACACACTGAAAAACCCCGGCGACGAGGCGACGCAAAGAAGTGTAACAGGCACCAAAACATCTCTTGATTGTTTTCCCATTTTCAGCATCTCCTCGTCTCCATGGTTTTCCAGTATGCTCGCTCACGAGCCCCACCACTCAATAATCTCTATCTCTCAATGTTTAAAATCAGTTTTGCCTGAACGTCATTGCAGAAGCTTTATGCTTCAGACATAGTAGACAGACACCCGTAAATTTTGTATTTCGCAGTGTACAGTTATTCTTATATATGCGTATTAGAAAAAAAAAAAACTCCTAGGTATAGTACAGCCGACGTTTCACAAAATCGCATACTTAGTATTTTGGGAAATTTTCACTTTTCAGCCGCTTCCCAAGAGGTATTCATGTAGTTATGTTTCTTCAAGTTTTGAAACATCTGTGCTTTGAACGTGTAATCTGCATAACGTACTCAAACAAATACTTTTTGAACCTGGATAAAATTGCGCACAAATAGAAAGGAACAGTAAAGAGGGAAGAGAAAACGGACAAGCGCTTGGTCTCTTCAGTCTTCTGTCTTCACTGTTCCATTCTGTTTGTTCCCAATTTTTACCATGTTCAATCATTACCAACTCGCCCAACTAACCACTGTACCAAATCCTTTTTTTTTAAATTGTGTTTGGTATTATCTATATCTAGCTTAATTGAGAAGGTATGACTGAGACAGCTTAACAAGCGCCTCAATGAATCCTCATTGCTTAGCCACAATATATTTTGCATCTCAAGGCTTGCTTTTATTACAATTCTGTATGGCTCATATTATCACGAATAACAGATGACGCGGTGACGGATGTACAGAAACTAAACTTTTAATTTGGCATACTTGTGCCAAAAAAAAAAAACATACAAAGAAGTAGCGTCACAGATGTCGAAGGTCGGCGGAGTAGCACGATCGATCGCAATAGTGACACTGACTCCGGACCGCCACGCAGAGCATCTTTTATACCAGCGTGGGTTTCTGGAACATTCTGCGCAGAACGTTAAGCGCGTAGAACATTCGTAACTCTATCAGATGACAAGGCTCTTGAACTTACGAGAAAGTCAAGTTGAAAGAATAAATAAAAGTGGGGTCCGCTCCCTGTAATCGAATCTGGAGCCTCCGAGCGATAACCAAGCGCGGTGACCATTCGGCCACGTACGCGCTCGTTCGGCGACGAGCGTGGCCATTACCCCCCCCCCCCCCCCCCCCCTCTTTAAAAGCGCATCCTCTCGATGCGACGTGACAGGAAACAAAATAGCACAACAAACAAAAATAATGGCGCACTACTGAAGCCTGTACAACACGGCCGTACCGAGCGTAGTACAAGAATGCAATTCATAGTCCTATTCACCGTAGTACGGTTTGCGACACACGACGTGGACGACTTCCGCTCCTGGAGGGAGGCATGATGTAGTCAATGTTCCGTCGGGCATCTCCCCGTAGTTTAGATCCCCGAATCGGCGAAGCACTTCGTAGGGTACGAAGTAGCGTTTTAACAGCTTCTTGCTGAGACCTCGGCGGTGAATAGGTGTCCTCAGCTATAGCGGCCATCATCGACACGTTGCTGGTCTTAAATCCGGAGTCGGGCGAGCTGGCAGACTTCTTCGGCGAGTTGCGCTACCACCTGACCGTCGTCGCTCCTATCGTCAGCTGACTCGTGGGGCAGCATAGCGCAGAGCATTGTCGTTACATTCCGACCATGTGCCAGCTGTAAATGTATAACTCCGGTGGTCTCTTGAAGCGCAGCGTTGTAGGCGTACGTGACGTAGGGCAATATATCCCCTCACGTCCTGCGCTCTACGTCGATGTACGAGGAGATTATGTGACTGTTTTGTTAAGCCGCTCCGTCAGCTCGTTGTTCTGCGGGTGGTAGGCCATGGTGCGACGATGGCTAGTGTGGCTCAGCTGAATAATTTCTTACGTCAGCTGCACCATGAGCGATGATCCTCGAACTGTAATAAGGACTTGAGGAGCGCTATGTCGTAGGACGACGGACTCGACGACGAAAAACTTGGCGAGTTCCACAGCAGTCCCCGACGGAAGGGCTTCTGTCTCGGCGTATCGTGTGAGGTAATCGATGGTTACGATTATCCAACGGTTTCCTACGGTTGAGTGCAGAAAACGACCAAGTAGATTCACTCCAATCTGCTGGAACGGTGCATTTGGTGGAGGGATTGACTTAAGCAGATCTGCCGGCTTCGTCGGCGGTTTCCAGCGCCGCTTTCACTCCTACCATTATCGTGTGTACAGGTGGACGGTTTTGGGAAGCGTAGGGCAGTAATACTTTTCACGAATACGGGCCAGTATCCGGCTGTAACCAAGGTGTCCGGACTTCGGGTCGTCGTGATAGGCTTGAAAGATATTCTCTCGAATATCGGTTGAGATTACCAGCATTCACGGCAAGTTGTTGACCCCGAAGTTCTCCTCGTAGAGTACACTTTTTCGAATGCGAATGTCGACAGGGCTCGTGAGAAACTGCGGGGTATGGTACTCCCTTTCCCTTCTATGTGCTCTATTTGTGCGCTCAGTTCAGGATCGTCCCGTTGACGTCGTGCCATCTCATCGGTATTCACTGCGCCTATGACACAGTCGTCGTCATCGTCGCCGCTGCTAACGAAAGGCGTTTCGACGGGGCTCTTGACAGGCTGTCGCCATCGTTGTGGTTGCGACCTCACTTGTAGGCCAAAGTCATGTTGAACTCTTGTAATATGAGACCCCATCCAGCGAGGCATCCTGACGGGTCGTCCTTGAGGTTCGCAAGCCAGCAGAGCAAGTGGTGGTCCTTGACTATGCGGAACAGGCTCCCGTACAAGTACCGACGAAACTTCGTGATTGACCAGAGGACCGCAAGACATTCTTTTTCAGTCGTGGAGTAAATTATCTCCGTCATGGGCAATGTCCGAATTGCGTAGGCGATGACTCGCTCGGTGCCTCCTTGCACTTGAACAACTATCACTTCAAGTCCTGCGTTTCAAGCGTCCGTGTGAATCTCGATTTCCGCATCCTGATCGACGAGTCCAAGAACAGGATGAGTCTTCGCTTCAGCTCGTCGAGTGCCTGCTGCTGCTCCTCGGCCTGATCGAATTTCTCGGCGTCCTTCCTGAGGTTTTTGAGTAGTGCGTAAATCCTTGCGAATCTTGAACGAAGTGCCGAGCGTAGGCACATGGTCCAAAGGATCTTCGCACAGCCTTCTCGTCTTTCGGCGCTGGAAATGCCGCGACGGCGCGAGTCTTACCTGGATCTGGGCAAACGCCTTCGTTACTAACCACGTGGCCTAGGAATTTCAGTTCGTCATAGGCGAACCGACACTTCGACGGCTTAAGGAACAGTCCGGCGGTCCGTATGGCTCGGAGAATAGCTCGGAGTCGTCGTAAGTCCTTGTCGAAGTCGCCGGAAAACACTACGACATCGTTCAGCTAGACGAGGCAGCTCTGCCAATTCAGTTCTGCCAGTACGGTGTCCCTGACACGCAAACACGCTGCTGGCGCCGTGCATAGTCCGAAGGGCTATGCACGGCGTGAGCAATTAACTTTCCAGCCAGCAAAAAAACTTGCGCTCGTACAGTCCATTTGGCGTGACGAAAGCTGTCTTCTCTCAGTCCCGTTCTTCGACTTCGATCTCCCAATAACCGCTCTTAAGGTCCATCGATGAAAAGTATCGAGGGTGGCGTAGCGGCCTAGCGTGTCGTCGATGCGGGGGAGTGGGTAGACATCTTTCTTCGTCGCCGTCTTCAGTTTCCACTAAACCACGCAGAACCTAAGCTTTCCGTCCTTCTTCTTAACAAGTACGACTGGAGTGGCCCACAGACTGCTTGAATGCTGAATTATGTCATCGTTCAGCATCTCATAAACTTGCTCCTGGATTACCTCTCATTTTTTTACGAAGACGTGGTACGGCGATCGATACACAGGGAGCGCGTCGTCCTTGGTAAGGATGCGGTGGTTTCCAACGGCGATGTGGCGTACCTTCACCAACGTCGTAAAGCAGTGGCTCTATTCGGAGATAAGGTTAATACGCTGCCGTCGATTCGGACCTGGAAGCTTAGGGTCATTGCCGGGAAGCGCTGGCGACGTACAGTATCGCTGAAGTGGCGAGGATTCTTCAGTTCTCGCGGGGATTTCGGCGGAGTTCCGGAGCTCCTGGACGTGGCCCACAGCTGCTCTTTTCGTGAGGTGTTGCGTTTCTTGTCTGAAGTTCATCACGAGGACCCCAGTGCGCCCATTTAAACTTCAGCTACTCTTCTTGCGACGCGAATACCTCTTCCCAGGAGCAATTGAAGGTTGTCTTCCAGAAAAAACTTCTCCGCAGGTAGCTTCATCGGTCACGACGGGTACAACAGCACTTGATCGCGGCGGAAGGTTCACGTGGTTGTCAACGACTCGGACTCGGAGTTTGGAGTTTCACTGGAGGCGAAACAGCTGTCCGCATCGTCAATTTATTTTGTTCACGGTCGATGACGGCGCCGTATTAACACAAAAAGTCCATGCCGAGAATGACGTCTCTGGCAGAGTCTTGTACAACGACGAATTTACAGGGTACGTCTCGCCGTGAATATGGACTAGGGCAGTGTACTCTCCGACGGGTTTAAGAAGGTGTCCTCCGGCGGTTCGACTTTGTGGTCCACCTTAGTGCGTCATAACCTTCCGCATCGAGGGACCCTGCCATTCAAGTCTGAGTTGTCTGCCGTAAGGTCCAAAAGTGCTTATGCTTCGCGGCCGTCGATAACAACGTCTAGTTTGTTCTGCACGGTTGCAGAAGCGTCGTCGTTGCCATGCGTGGAGTCAGAAGAGTAAGAGCGCTCAGGCGTCCTTCGATCGTCGTCGGCAACGCCACCTCCGGGCTTTGCCACACTTAGTTTTCCCGGCGAGAATCGGGCAAGCGGCTCTCTCGACGGGACCGACAAGGTGGTGACACGGGAGGGCGCGGGGACGGCGAGCGGGATCCTCGGGGAGGAGCTTGCCCAGGGGACGGTGCCCGGCGCGAGAACTATTTAATATCCCTCGGTCGCACACCGTACCTCGGACACGGAGCGTCTCCCACAAACCATCCAAGTCCAATTTCACGGTAAGCACATCGTCGACATACGTGGCCAGCTTCAACGCAGTGGAAGCACACAAGTCGTCGGTCAGCCGTTCGCCAGACGTCGGTCTTTCTTGGCACAACTGGTTCACCGGGCACGTGCGCTCCATCTTCCTGGCGTCGGGGATACTACGTAGAAGGGTCGTCTCGTCAAAGTGGCGCCTGGTAGAGGGGAGCAGCCGGCAGCGACCGTCGGGCTACTGCGCTGTATGTCACCAATGGCTCTTCGAGTGAGGCCACGATGACGGGAGCCTCTGGCTGGATGGCTCGTTGAACCTCCTCTCTCACTACTTTGGCGATGGAAAGTGGTGCCGGGCTTGAGGCAGCGGGCAACAGCTTCTTCAGCTCTTCCTGAACGACTTCACGTATGATGTCGCGGATACCAGTGGAGCTGAAACTGACGTCGTAGCACGATAGCGAAGGAGCAGCTACGCTCGAGTGTTGATGGTAGTGGCTGGCTCTTGCGAGGAGGACACGCTTCGTGTTTATGCCTCAGTGATAAAATATTCGATGGTAGAAGTAGGGTTGCGAAAAAGACCACCGAAAATCCAATCCTTCACACCTCACATGAGGATCCGCAGCTTCTTATTGTCGGTGGCTTGAATGTCGGTGCGAGCGTTCAGGCGCAGAGCATCCTAGACGAAGCTGGTGTGTCTTTCATCAAGGCCTTGACTCCTTGTTCGAAGGAGGTTTTCGGCCCTCTCGCGTCGGTGTTGGCTGGCAAACGTCTTTTGGAGTTCTTGCTTGCAGACGTCTCGCGAAAGTTAAATTGGATTGGCTTATATCGTATAATAGCTTACATTAGGAAGGGTGACTGCGACAGCTTAACGAGGACCTCAATAAATCCTCATTGCTTAGCCACAATAAAATCAGTATATCAAGGCTTGTTTTTAGTAGCCTTATGTATGGGTCATATGCACTAAACACACACCTCACTAGAAGACTTAAAGAGTTTCTAGATAGTTAAAAATATTACAAAGCTCATGGAGCACAATAATTTTGCAAAATATTTATAGAGTATGTCGCCATACACGCAGGATCTGACCCTTAGAAAAGCGCTTCGGTGGAACAAGTTGATCCTCAACTTTACAATGGCAATCACATTAATTTGTGCGAAAAATACGTGTTTGCTTTTTTAAAGTTTAATGAATCGCATGAACCAAATAATTACAATATTAAAGATCTTTCTTAAAAGAAGTAAAGGTTCGCGGGTGAGAATATAAATCGCGTCGATCTTGACAATATATGTCTAACATTTTTAGCATTGCTGCAACTACGAATGCTGGTCACGTATCCCTAACGACCCCAGCAAGTTGTTACTAAGTATCCTTAATCCCTGTTCACTGCCTCCTCATTAAGTATCATAATCACACAAACACAGCATTAACTCAACTATTTGGACCACGAGCGTCAACTGAAAAACTGATTAAACGCGAGCTGCGGCAGCGCGCCGACGCAGCACTTGTATCCACTCTGTGTGAGTGCTTGATCGTTCTGTGAGGGCGTTAAAATTTTAGCGAACTGGCCTTACCATCTCCCCTATACCTCCAACCCGGCAGGACGTTGGAATCACCGTGCTAGTTAGACCAATCAACCGTCCGTCTTGCACATCGTGATCACGGTATCCGGGGGTATTCACGGACAAAGCTTGTGAGCAGAGAACGATAAAAGACATGCCACTGATAGTACTGCAAGCATATGTCTTTACAACCCTGTCAGTTTAGCTAAACAATAAATACAGTTTCGGTGGCGTTGGCCCACCACGGTGTAGAAAGCGAAGTTATGATTAACAAGAAACGTTGGACAGTTTGAAAATACAAAACTAGAGACAAGGAAAATATATCTCCCAGGATAATAGAGCATAAAAATGTGCACACCCTAGTCATCTTAATTCTCGTTGTGTTCAATATTCTGAAATAAATCAGTTCATTCAGCTTTCTGTTTTGGAATATTTTCTGTGATCAAAAATTACTGCCTTGATTTTTTAATAAGTATGCTCTTATACTTTTCCGTGAAGCACAGTTCTAACAAATTAGCCATCCAGACATTACAAAAGAGTAACTGTTTTCATTTCTTTTTTCACCCAGGGTGAACCTTCTAATGGGAAACTTTCCAGAATTCTTTCGTGTGTTCTCCTGCAGTCCTAACTCAACTATGAACATTACAAACAAGTGCACCATGTGGTGACCAAACGCGGGCAACAGCGCAATTAAAAAATCGATTTGAATAAAATTCCACAATTTAAACCTTGGATCTCTCATAGCGCGCATGCGCACTGACGCTATAGATATAAAAACTTTAAGTATGTAAAAAAAAAACTAAGAAAACACGTAGTGCATAAATATGCGTAATTGTTACTTTGCAGGCTGGTTTTCCTCGACTGAATTACGCGGCTCATTTTGCTTGAAACACTTTTTACATTGTTGAATATTTTCTTGCTACTTGTCGTTATTTTTTAAATATAGTCCGCACAGTTCGCAGGTGAAATTCTAATTAGCAACGCATCCTGAAAAGTGCAAGTTTAATCAGCACACAAAAAAATAAGTTCTATGATACAGAACTCATCATTAACATAACCTGACATGTACAAAACTGTAATATCTCGTCATATTGAACAACATTGAAAAACAAGTCTATCAATAGTCCGCACCCGTGGGTAGTCCTCTGCGCGTAATTTGTCAGATTTCAAACGTGCAGAGTTCTGGACTATAGTCCAGAATGTAGGGTACTAAAGAACTGATATAAACATTGACTACTCGATAACATCTCTCAATTCTATGTACCAAGCGAAAAATGGGCACTAATCTGGTCATCTCAAACTTGTAAGCATATAAAATAATCATCCACATTTCCGTTATAGGAATAACAACTCTTGCTGCGACATAATATTAATATTAATAACAATACAATACTATAAAACATTTACTTTCGAGGACTATACTCATGACAAAGCAGTCTGGTTTGTCAAAGCCGACAAGGGATTGTGTGACTGAACCCTTTAAGGTAGAAATGGTAACATATTCAATAGTAATATCAATCAATCAAACAATGTTTATTAAAGTGTCCAGGAACAACTAATCGGTCTTAGTGCTGGCACACTAAAAAAATGAGCAAAAACACACACATACAAACACGCATACACACGAGTGCAGAAGGAGAACGTAGTTCTCCAGTCTGGGAAGGAAAATATTAACATGTATGAAAGACACTAAGATCAACAAGCGAAATCAAAAGCAAAAAACAAAGACATCAACAGGTGTGAGAGCAAAAAGCAAAGACTACATCACGCTTCAACTGATCAGCCCTTTTCCTGCAAGAGGAGAATTTGAACAGCATTTTCGAACTTGCTCCCGCATGAGTTAAAAATTTCAATTGTGTCAGAGTAGCGATTACAACACTCCGCCGATCTTTGGATCAGGCTTAAGTGGCTAAAATGTCGAGCAATATAAAACGATTATTGGAGCCGTATAGGCACACGTGGAACTCTGAGGCTCACCTCGGACAGAAGGCTGGGAGAGTTAATCGAACCGTGCAGGGTCTTAAAACAAAAACAAAAAATCTGCCTTCACCCGACGCTGCTGCAGGCTCAACAAGTTGCCAAGTTGCGAGTTACACACACCGTTCAGACAAGGATCACCTTTCTCAAGGTAACGATATTTAAATATAGAAATAAATTTGTTTTGGACTCGCTCGACAGATAAACTGTTAGTTTCGGAAATGCCGTTCCAAACAACCGAGGCGTACTCTAGCTGGGATCTAACTAAGGAACAATACAGCGTACTAATAATAATAATAATAATAGTATTAACAATTAAGAATAATAATATTAAATAATAATAATAAAATTCCATCATTATTGTATTTGGTTCCCAGAAACCACCATAAGGTCTTGGTGCTGGCACACCGACATATTCAAACACGTACTAAAATGATAATTGTAATAATAGTACCTTTTGTTTGAACAAAACCAATGTTGAAAAGGTGACAAGGTGGCAAGATAAAAAAAAAAGCAGTGAGAAACAATTTGACGAGTCCCCGAGCCATCTAAGCTAACAGTCGTGATGCAGGCACCAAAATAATTTATACAATTAACAGGCTAAGAAGCATGGATTGATAATTTCGAGCATTGATATATTTGCAATCATCTTACTCGGCACGTTTTAATTAGACTCGTAAAGTACTCATTAAACGCATTTGACCATTTTTATCTTCAGAGCTCTTAACCATTGTGGTTGATCTATTCCGCTTATTTTGTTCAAAATGAACCACCCAAGACAGGTTTAGTTTTTTTCGTGTTTTTTAAACAACGTCGACTCTGTCATTACACGAAACAAAAAAGTAAGAAAAAATGGGTTTCTATTGCATTTCAGAATTTTTTTTCTATAATTTGTTTCGATAACGTCTGAAAACTGTCAGATGTTCGATTTATTTTGTTTACATAATTGTTTTATATAACGCATTTTTCGTATGACGATTTGTGAGTAATTCTTTTGTAATCAATGGTTTCCGACCTTTTTTATCAGTGCATAATCTTTTTTTTCGGAAAGCAGCTTTCATATACTTTTTTTCCTGTTTTGTTTAAGAAAAAATCTCATGCGTTTTCTGCATATATTTTATGAGAACATCATCCCAATCCAAACGAGATAGTTTCTGTCTGAAGTCGTAAATGTGACCAGGCGTTATAATCTGAAAGTGTATGGCGTACTTATTGTTATGCTTTATGTTCACAGTTTGCTTTTTCTTTATACACATCAATATACCCAAGTGATCGTTTATATAAGCTATCACCACGCCAGATTTGATATACGAGCTTGTATTAAATAAATCCTATGATTTCGATGATTCAGTCGAGGTTCTTTTGCAGTATTTACCATATTTTCACATCCGTTCGCTTTATGAGCGCATGAAATTGTATTGTAATTTACTTGTTGTTTAAATTAGCATGTTGACATTAAAATCGCCTCCCATGACTACGTCGTATTTATTTTAATTCGTGATATTGAAGAAAAACCTCCAAGTAAACCAAAAGGGAAGAGATGGTTCCCACTTTGCGGGCAATAACACACGTCGATAATGCTCTGTTTGATCAATCAGGGCAGCGTCTCGCAGGCTTCGTGAACGCTGCAATAACGAAACTATGGGTTGCTTTCTTGCATTTTTAGATTTATCACATTTATAGAGATTTCGTGTGCGTTCATGTAGCCGCCGTTGTACTGGATCTTACGTTTTTACTATAAGGCAAATTTCGGATTTTTTATTGAAATACTAGACAAGTGATGCACACTCTAAGAAAAAGCCCGTGCGTCCTCTTTCCCGTAGAACACTCGGAGAGCTAATCATCGCAATGCAAAACGTCACGCTTGCATTGCTTAATGTCACAACTCAAACTGCGTTTTTGGTCTAATCCTATGTTTCGGCACCGTCATCCGCTGAACTGCCTCTGTAAGCTGCGTTGATTGGCTAATGGAGAGATGTGCGGGAAAGGAGGCGTGCAGATTTTTTTCAGAGTTCAAGAAGCCAGAGCCTGTGCCCTTGGCATCGGTTTTGAGTCTCAGGCATGCTGATCACATTGCATGGTTGGGACGTCGCATTTTTATGTCACAATAAAGGTAACATTGTGAACGCTGTTTAATATATTTTTTTTAACACCACGCGCATGGTACTTTAGGCTCAATAAAACTCCTGACACTTTCAACAAGCGGCGATGTTACAGCTGCCGTTGCACTCTCTTTCGCCCTTATCCAGGCGGAGACCTGTACGCTACTCGATTCAAGTAATCAAATTAATTCTAATCGATTAATTTAGAGTAATTTTGTAATCATCAGAATAAATTTATTAAAAAGTAATTCCAAGCATAACGTACCCAAATGACTTGTAACCGTTACTACCTTCCCCTCTCCTTCCTAACGCCGTCCTTTGTACAGCTTCCCACCAAGGAATAATGGAACCCAGTTTCCGACAAGAGAGTGGTTTAGGTGGATGAGAAAGTTAAGCAGTTCATGGTTGGGGTGATTCCAAACCAATAACAAACAGTACGAAGGACACGTTTTCAAATCAGCTTAGCTCTCCGAGGTCGACACTCCAAGGTGGACGGCTCCCCGAGGTCACGACCGAGACAAGTTGCCCAGGCCTCACGATCCAAACAAGATTGTGTTGTGCGTCTGCAAAAGCTTAATGTACGATGAAACGCCGGAGGTACACTCTTAGAAAAAAAGGGTATGGATAGTCCTCCCTTAGGGGAGGAAGGGTTTGTAACCTATATTCCTTTAGAAAGGGAGAAACTTTCGTCCCTGAAGCAGGGGAGCAAAGTTCCTCCGTCGCCTGCATCCCATTATGGCGGCCCTGAATCCAGCAAATCGAGCTCAATAAGTCTTAACGAGGACTCTACGTCTCTTGTATGGGACGAGAGGAGCAGCAAATAAAAGCGTACACGAGCTTTTCACGAACTGAGTTTATTTCCGAAGCCAGATTCCCCCACAAGTACAGAAACTTGCGTTTCGAAAGCAGTTACTCGGTCTTCTCGTCGACAGCATTGCGATGTTAAACGGAGACAACCGATACCCAGTTACTTCGCGCACTTTGCGTCTTACCTTTGGTGTTCCTTGAGTCACAATTCCTTCGTCAACCGCACATCACTGAGAATGGCAAACTCAATCCGCGAAACCAAAAGCCGCTCTTGAAAGAACGAACTCGAAGCCGCTGTTTATCGCGTAGCGTGAAAGAAGGTTAAATCGCTTGCCACCAGATGGCAGGGTCAAGCAGAGTAGTTGCAAGTTGCTAGGCCAGGTGGCGCTAGGTACCGCCCAATTCATGTTCTACAAAAAATAATATTATTTCCTCAGGCCACTTTCGCGCCATAGGGACCCTCTACCATACGCACATTTCGCATAGTACAAGCATCAGGTGAACATATATTGAGTACATACAAATACAGTACAGCGGCACACCACGCTAGCCCAAACACTACACCCGTTCTCTGCGTTTCCGTCTTTTATACTGGTCGTTTTGAACGTACGGAATTTCTCGGTGACTGAATAAACAATAAAAAATATTCCCAGCATGTTGATTTTTTTCCAGCAATGTCATACCTCTGTGAGTATTTTGAATGGCTCAGGGGATGAATCTCTTATTAAAAAGCAAAACTTCGATCACGCCGTAATTCTTCGAAAGCCATAAATGAAGCCGCT